CTAATCTTAAAAGAAGTCACTTTCCTTCTCTGCCTCTCATTTTCTCATTTGCAAGATGAAGCAGTTTATTCATTCAGGAAACATTTGCCGAGCCAGAGAGCCTAACCTAGAGGTGAATTAAGCATGATCACAGCCCTCAAGGAAGTTAGAGTCTGGCGGGGTATCTGTGTCTTCCAGGTGGGAGGTCTGAGCACTGTGTGAGGGTGAGCCTGCCTGGGCCCCACCTAGCGAGTGGGAGAGTGCAGCCAGCATCTGGGCCCTGGCGACTCCTGTTCTGTCCCTATCCCGGGCCTGCCTTACCGAGTCCCCACTGGCTGGCTGGCAGTGTGGTGGCCGGTCTGCTGGACAGTTGAGGTTACGAAGACAGACTTTCCCCTCCGCTCTAACATGCGGCCTCTCGTGTGGCCTGTTTGCATGTGTGGGGCTCATCTGTCGTGGGCTCACGCCGTAGACCCGCTGCTGCTGGACCACCCACGGCCTCGCGGGTCCAGCCCAGCCCCCGGCCACCTGCTCTCTGACAAAAGCCCCCGCCTTCTCCGGGGGTACATATGGGAGACTGCGTGTTGGTCAGTCTCTCAGGCTTTTTACAGGGCCAGGCACAGTGCAAGCCAAAGTTAGCCTTTAAGCCAATTTGCATTTCACCACAATGGAGCTAAAAATAGATCCTGTTGGAGAGAGTAGGTGTCAGAGTCAGCCAGCTAAGCCTTGTTTGGCATCTGGGCCTCTTGGAGGCTTCTGCCCAACCGCTGGCAGGCCATCCTCCCCTTCACCCTCCTCAGCACTTTCCCTGCACTCCAGGGTGCCAGCCTAGCACAAGCCTCCCCTCAGGTCATGAGTCCCTGGGGGTTGGTTTTGGGGAAGGCGCTTCTAGTCAGCGGTTACAAAAAACCTGGCGAATGTAAAGCCTGCTCGCTTATACGCGAGTGGTTAGCAGGCTAGGGAGGAGCGGCAGGGAGCCCTTTTGTGCCTGGTTTTGATTTTGACGGAGGGCTTGACCTTTACCTGTATTCCTTGGCTTCAGTTGGACGTCCTAGTGCAAGCTTGAATGATGCTTGTGGCAGTGGAGCTGTGACACGGTAGAGAGGTGCCCTGGGTGCAAGATGACGCACGAGATTGGGGGTGGGGGCGTCAGAGTGGTCGTCTCTACCTGCATCTCGTGAATGTGCCAGGACCCCCCGCACCCCACATACACATACAGGGCTGCTGATGGTACTTGAGATAATAGATGTAAAGCACTCAGACTTCCTACGAAGAAAGGTGCTATGTAAATACAGTTATTATTGCTATTATGATGATGATTACCATATGCACACACACTGGAGTTTTCTATAATTAAGTGCTGGGTGTGTAGTTTTTTAACTCTGCACCAAGTGGCAGTTGTAGTGAATGGCAGTCCCAGTCTGGCAGCAGGAATATGTGTGTCTGGAGTAAGGGTTGGATGGAAGTTCCCAAGTGGCTTTTTTCCTCTCTCCCTGCCTCCCCTCCATTCGGTTCTGCTGCCTGCCCGGTTACCAGGGCACTGCAGTGCGGCTCACACGCCTCTCGCTGTCTTCTCTGCTGGCAGGACAACACTCGCATCTCCTCAGCCGGATGCCTGGGAGAACTGTGTGCCTTTCTGACTGAAGAGGAGCTGAGTGCTATTCTTCAGCACTGTTTGCTGGGTAGGTACCCTTTGTCCTCTTGGGGTGCTCTCAACTGGGGGAGAGTGGGTGCCTGCGTTCCCCATCTTCCTGCAGAGGGTCTTCTGGCAGCGGAACTGCCCTCTTCATGAGAACCCACACTGTTAACAGGAAACGGGCCTTCAGTGGGCCTGTAGCGCGAGTGCCTGCTCAAGGAACACGGCTGCAGGCCTGACGCACTTTGTGAGGGGCCTCTCCTCACGTGCACCCTAGGCAGGGCGGTCATGCTCAGTAATGTTCCGGGGCTTGCGCCAGGCTCCAGTTGACACTCTAATCTTGGAGGTGCAGGCCTGTGGGCTTCACAAGGGGGGTGCGTGCTCAGAGTGCAGGCTGACCGCAGTTGTTGCCATCCACCCAGCGGACGTGTCGGGCATTGACTGGATGGTTCGGCATGGGCGGAGCCTGGCCCTCTCCGTGGCTGTGAATGTGGCTCCGGGCAGACTCTGTGTAGGCAAATACAGCACTGAAGTTCAGGACATGATCCTCAGCAATGCCACAGCAGACAGGGTAAGGCTACGGGCAGCCCTGCAGTCCGTCCCCTCCCCTGACCAGAGTCCTACAGCCACCCCTTGACACAGTGGGGCAGCGGAGAGCAGCTAGACCCCAGACTGCGCATGAGAGGCCTGAGTTCTCATTTGGCCTGAGCTGGCAACTTGGTGTGCACTTGGACCAGTGCTCGACCCTCAGTTTCATCACTTATGTATTGAGGCGTTGGGAGGCTGAGGGGTCCTTCTAGGTCAGAAGGTCTCTGATCCTGGTCCCTGCCGGGCAGCAGGGCAGCCTGTGTGGAGGAGAGCTGTTGAGGAACCGAAAGCAGGGGGGATGGGTCCTGGAGATTCCCAAGGAAGGGGTGGTTTCTGCTCTCAAGAAGGGAGCAGCATGCCACCCCTCTAGCTCTCTGCTCTCCACAGATCCCCATCGCAGTGAGTGGGGTCCGTGGCATGGGCTTCCTGATGAAGCATCACATCGAGACAGGAGGAGGACAGTTGCCGGCCAAACTCTCCAGCCTCTTCGTTAAGGTGAGTAGTGGCGGAGGCTCATGAGAAGGACCCGGCGCCCCAGCGCACTAGTGGTATTCTGGGGGTTCTCTGTGGGTGATGGTCTGCAGGAGCGTTCGGAACCTGCAGGAGTTGAACACAAAATAGATGGAAGATGCCCAATTTCTTACCAGACTCTCAGACCTGTGATCCCAAATCAAGCTAAGAACCACTATTTTAGACATTCTTTTAGGCGCTCTGATTTGTACAGTTAGGACAGAGCTGGGTTCAAATCTAAATTCTGCCTCCCTTCTGTACTTGGCTTGGCGGCTGCTAGTGTGACTGTTCGGTGGGTGCTGCTGAAGGAAGCCAGAAGCTGGTGGCAGGGTTCCTGCCGGCTGTGTAATGGGTGGCACACAGGTCACCACTAGGATCTGCATTTTAAGAGACGAAGCAAAGCCTACAGGTGCCTTCTAAGCCGCTCACAGGTGATGCCAGTGCTGCTGTGTGCAAATCTCACAGAGAGTAGTACAGACTCCTGAGTCCTGCTGAGGGTTTACAGGCCCCAGTTTGATTGTGCCTGTGTGATGGCACTGCCCAGCATGCAGCTGTCTCAGCATTCATTTCCTGAGTATGCACTGCGTGCCAGCTAGACTCTGGAATATGGCTGATGGAATCTCCTGAGTTAGAGATACACTAACAGCCCCAGGAAAGGGCCCTAATTAAGGTAGGCTTGTAGGGGGGACCTGAAGGCTGACATTTGAGCTGAGGCCTGAGAGGGGGGAAGTTGAAACAATGGAGCAGGGATCCAGGGCAGGCACGTCCCATCCCAGCGAGGGGACCAGTCGGTGCAGAGTGCAAGGTGGGGTGGGTGGGGTGGGGGGCATGGTAGGTTTGAAGATGTGAAAGCCTGTGTGGGCCAGGAGCACTGAGTGAAGGGAGAGTGGCACGAGATGAGGTAGAAGAGAGAAAGGGGCAGATGACACCCTGCACCTTCCCACACAGGGAAGGATTTGGAAGGAAGCAGTGGGGTCAGTTTGTGTGGAGAAGGGAGGGGAAGGGCTGGGATTTGGGCTTCTTTGAGAAACAGATTGGATGTACTTGGTTCCTCTTCACAGTGTTTGCAGAACCCCTCCAGTGACATCAGGCTGGTGGCTGAGAAGATGATCTGGTGGGCAAATAAGGACCCACTGCCTCCCCTGGACCCCCAGGCCATCAAGCCCATCCTGAAGGCACTTCTCGACAACACTAAGGATAAAAACACTGTCGTGAGGGCCCATAGCGACCAGGCGATTGTCAACCTCCTCAAGATGAGGCAGGGCGAAGAGGTGTTTCAGGTGGGAGCCAGGGGCTGGGGTGCCTCTCCAGAGCCTGCTGTGGGCTGTTGTCTGCAGGTCTTCTGCATGACAGTCTCCGGGCCTCCTACATCACCAGTGTGTGCGGGGGAGGGGGGTGCACACTGATTGCGTTTTACAGGCCTAAAACCCGTCCATTCTGTGGCATTCAGCCTGCTTTCAGCAGTAGCATTCTTCAGCTAAATCTCATGTGGCAGCCCATCCGGTAAAACAGACCCTAACGGGGCTGCCCACTGAAGCCCGAGCCCTGCCCACGCAGCACCCATGACCACCCTGCCACGCGAAAAGCACGAGTGGTTTCTTGGCTTTCCTTGAACCCATCTGTTCCTTTATTGTGCCATCGATCCCAGCGGTACTATTTCTGAGGTTAACACTCATTTTTGTGTTTGTTTGAGTGGAGAAATCTGAAGCTTTATCTTCTGACTGCATGTCCTCATTTCTGTCTTCCCACAGTCCCTCTCCAAGATCCTAGATGTAGCCAGTTTGGAGGTGCTGAACGAGTGTAACCGGAGGTCCCTGAAGAAGCTGGCCGGCCAGCCTGACTCCACGGAGCAGGTGGACGACACCATTCTGACCTGAGAGGCTGGGCCCTGGCCCCCGCGCTCTGCGTCAGCATTTCGGCTCCACATCTTTGTTCACTGTTTTCATTTTTGAAAATACGTTTGTTCTGATGGGAGCTTAGGAGATGGTGTTCCCAGAAGGTATTTTAATATATCAACAGACCACAGCCAAAGCCTTAAAAGTCAAACCCACACACAACTGAAAATCGCCTCCTCCATTGCACCCTTTTCTTTGGAGAGAAGAAAAAAGCACAGGTCTCATCGAATGTCGCCAAGAGCCGGTCACCTGGCTTAGCGTGGCTGGCCTGGAACAAGTAAGGCCAAACCTGCAGCTCCCCTTCTCCAGGGCAAGAGCTCCGCTCCCAGGGCTGGCGCTGCCAACTCGGTGCCTCACACCTCAGGGGCGTGCAACGTGGCAGCCAACCCAGCATGGTGCGTCTGCTTGGCTTTGCCAAGCCTTGCAGCCCGACTGGATCTGACCTGGCTGGCGACAGTGATACCTGCGTAGCCCTGGCAGGTCTCAGGTTGGGGAAGGGTACAGGTTAAAATGCAAGCTGTTTGAAGGAGGAATGTTTAATAAAGGCTTTGATTCAATCTTGATATAAGCAGATTTTTTTAAACCTCCAGGTAGTTGTTAAACATGGAGCTTCCTGCATCGGGAACAAGGCGAGGCGTGGGACTGTTCGGGAGCACTGCAGGACTCTGAACACGGGCTTCTGCTTGTAGCTACCCGCAGACTTCTCTGTCCTGAGGTCGGTCTCAGGCGCTGTGGAAAATGAGGGGTCGAATTAGCCACATCCCTGTCACCTCTCACAAAGGTAGCTTGTGTAGTCAAGTTTCAAAGCGAAATCTATCTCCTCTATGGAGCAAAAAAGCAAATGACTTGCCACAGGAAGCCCGAGTTGCAGCTCAGCATCTGCCTGCTTTGTGAATGACTTCCTTCCTCCCGGTTCTTAGAAGGCTCGTGATCCCCATGTCCTGTCTGACAGAGCACGCCCCTCTGGGCTTAGTGGTGCAACTTTTCTGGGCTGTTTCCCTGAGCAGACACGGGACAAGCCTCTATCAGAATTACTGGTCAGAGCTGTACAAAGAAGAAAATTAAATGTGCTGGAAGCGAAATCACTTTGCAAAAGGTATAAACTGCTTTACTGGAAAAAGCAATGCTTTGCTTACTAATGCAGCAGGGATAAAAGTAGCCTTGTGACTCAGCACTCTGATGGATACAAGGTGACCTCTGAGATACTTCTATGCTTTCTATGCCTGAGCCTTATGTCACAGGACTTCCTGTTTCCTTGTAGCAGACGTGGTCTCAGTTGGCTCAGCGTAACTGGAATCCTGGGAAGGGACCTTGAGAGGTCGGCTGAGCCTTTTCCCATGGTCACAGCAGCTAATGGTACAGCTTGTGGTAGCCATGGTAACCGCTCCCTTCTGGGATGGTCATCAGTGTCCTCCCAGCTGCCTAGGGCATATGTCCAGCAAGCTGTCTGTATGTGTGGTTCCCTCTGCCAGGTAGCCATGGGGATCCAAAGTTTGTGTGTGAGGGGGCTTGGGCTGGGAACCTGTGTCAAGCCCCTGAGATTTCTGCAGTATTTCTTCCAGGCTCCCAAGAGGCCAGTGTCCACCTCTGGTGGCCAGTGCCCAGCCTGAAATTGTGAGGGGAAGCTGCTGTACATAAAGTGGAAGAAACTCATTATGCAAGACCCAAAGGAAAAACACTGGGTTCCAGTTCTAAAACCCGAAGGAGGATGAGATCTCTGTGTTCAGGGTGAATGGATGAAGGTTGATTCACAGACGGAGATGACTCAAAGGTTCTCAGCGTTATGTTGAATTGCATTCCCTGAGTCTGGAAGGGAGGGTGTTTGTTCCCAGGAAGGTTGCTGCCAGGGGCTGGCTGGCACAGATGGGACAGTGGGGCAGACCAGAGGCCTTGCTGGTCCAGGGTCATGGCAGTTCTGAAAAAGAAGCCCAGACTGAACCCCCTGGAGTAGAGCTTGGCAGTAATGAGCAAAGCTGTTTGCCCTTGTTGGTAGAGCTGTTTAGACTTAGACAAGTTGGCTAACCTCTCTGGGCCAGTGTGCTTGTCTGTAAATTGAGGAAGTTTGGAATAGAAGCCCTTAAAAACCTCTTGTCCTCATCCCTTTGGGGTTAATAGTAATTGAAATAGATGATATTCACCTCCCCCCATTTAATCCTCTCAACTTAGTAGTTTCTCTTATTTTAATATTTGCCAGAGGAGGAAACTGAGGCAGAGAAGTCACTTCCTGGTGAGGTGGCTAGAATGTGAGACTGTCCCCAGCCTTCATACTCAGCTTTTCTCTGGTTTGTGTACGGCTGGTTCAGCACAGGCGCTTTTCGTTCTTTAGAGCAGGGCCTCTAGACCTCTGCCAGGTGCCCGGGCTCTGGAGAGCGGGAGCCGTGCAGGGGGGCTGGCCTGGCAGCACCGGCTCCACACCTGCCCGTTTACATACAGGCGCGCTTCTCAGACTCAGATCATCTAGGGAGGAGACGCCCCTCTTTCTCCACGTGTCTGAAAGACAATGGCAGCCAGGTGTCCTTGGCCCTTCCAGGGGAAACCGCACTCGACCCTTCGATGGAGCCTCCTGAAGCTCGGGGGACATTTTTCACTGAGCAGATTCTGAAACAAGTTTGGCAGTTAGGAGTTGTTTTCCTTCTAAGTATGGTTCTGCGTGGATCTAAATTGCTTTCTAAGTTAGGGGAAGTGAGGAACCACTCTACAGATCTCGGCTCTGAAATTTAAGGGAAGGGAAATGTGCTCAAGTTCTAGCATCAGAGCGCAGCAGTGGAGATGAGAAGATTCTCCAGTCAGGTGTGAACCTTAACTTTCCGGCCGAGGGTCAAGCTGAGCGACCCAGCACACGTTGCTGAACATCCCCGAGCTGCTGTCCTCACCTGTTCGTGGCGGCCAACAGAGTTAACACTTTGGATTTGCGGGCTGAGAAGCTAAAAATCAGATTTCTTTTGAAGACTGATGACTGTGTCTGAGTGTGCCACCCACCAATGGAAGGTGCGAGCAAATGGGTCATGGAGCGTGGGCAGGGGCGCAGTGCTGCGCCCTGAGAGCCAGTCCTTTTGTGGGCAGGACACCAAGGTGCAGATGGAAGGGGGTCCCCGAGAAGCCTTGTAGGTAGCTGGCAGAAGGGCGGAAAACCCGTATTTCTGGACACTGCCTACCAAGCCCCGTTTGTGAAAATAAATTTGGAAGGTGAACTTAATAAAAGAAACTTAGTCAAGTTCTTGGTATGCGGCTATGCGGCATGACTGGGTTTCACTTTTAAGAAGCAGTGAGCTGATTTACCTCACCGGGCAGTGCTGAGCCCTCCCTCCCTTCATCGGGAGGGTTGAGGGTTCTGGGTTCCGGCAGCCTGCAGTGGCTCCACCTTCACGTTAGCAACGCTGAGGAAACTGGAAAAACGAGTCTGAGAATTACTACCTCAGGGAAATGTCTGGGTGAGACTCTCCCGAGGGTGGATGCAGCAGATACTTTTGGATGCTTTCTGAGATTTCTGTAGTAGGGTTGGGTTAAGGGAAGGGGAGGGGGTTGGGGGGGGGAGGGAGGGAGGGGGAGGAAATCCTGCAGTGCTGTGCTGCTTGTACTGACAGGAAGATGGACATAAGCCACACTAGACCCTTCTTAACACCCAGGTTCCCGTTGTTACAGAAGCTGGGGTGCAGCAGTGTTTCACCGGCTTTCTCCAACCTTCTCCCGCAGAACCTACACACTTCTGAGAAACTGCTGAGGACCCCAAAGAGCTCTTCTTGGCTATGCAAGTCTGACCTACCAATACTTGCCATCTTAGAGATCAAAGCTTCAATTTTAAGTTTTGCTAATTTACTTAAAAACAATCCATTACAATTAGCATACTAACCACCATGCAGAAAATGGCGATTCCCAAAGTCATTTCGTGAGGACAGTGGCACTGTTTTAATGTTTTCAAGTCTCATTATCTGGATTTGTACATTTGCTTCTGCAGTCTGTTGCCATTTCACATCATGTCAGCTCTGGGAAACTCCACTGCACATGTGTAAGCAAATTAGAGTGCAAAAGGCAAATGGCACCTCAGTGCTATAAGCATGTGCTACTTTGCAGCTCTCTGGCAGGTCTGTGGGAGCCCCCAGCCCCACGCTACTTTGAATGATGATGAGGGGAGAGAAATGCTACTGAAAGGTTTGGAGGGGCGAGGGGAGGTTCGCCCTGAGTTAGTGACTGCCCAAATTTGGCCCGCCCCCTGCAGAAAGCACTGTGCAAGTAATCACCTGATTGCCTCTGCTGCTCCTGGTTGTTCTATAAATTCTGTGTGGCTCCGCTTTAGCCCAACAGACACTGAGCGCTTACCCTGCGCTGGTGGCCCCTGCTTTCAGGGGGTGTCACGCTGGATTTGGAGGGCTGCAGGCAGGGCCAGGCCCTTGCCAAGCCTCTTGGAGTGGCATCAGGCATGAGGGGGTGGGGTAAAAGGCCAATTTCCAGCTCTAACAAAGGGAGCATCCAGGCACAATTTTGTTCATTCCTTCTCGAACCAGCTTGAATGGTATCCCAACTTGGCTCCTCACTTAAGTTTACTTCACCTCTCAAAACTCTTATTTAATAACCGCTTCTGCCTTCCCAAGTGAGGTGGCATGTGTTCCTCCCTTGCTCTGCGGCGCCAGAATCCACGCTGACCCATGTGAAGTCTGGATTTCTCAGGTGCCTCTAGGCCTCCGTCTCCCCCGCTGCACCCCACGGTGTTGCTGGCTCTCCTTTACCAGCTTGGCCTCCCCACTGGTGACACCACCTCACTTCCCCACACTCTGGCAAACTTAAGCTCTTTTTTTTTTTTTTTAAAAATTTACGTATACAGAACTGGGGGACAGGCCAGAGGTGCAGGGGTGGTGAGAGCCTTCACCAGAGACAGAGTGGGGAGCAGAACAGGCAGACTGATGAAGTACACCACTGAGGGGAGCAGCGGGCGGGTCAGGAGAGGTCTGCCGAGCCACGTGGGTCACCTCTGGGGTAGGTGGGGATGGAACTCATGAGGAAGTGGCTTTGGCTTCTTAGTGCTGTGCTTTAACCCACTGCGCCACCAGGGAGGGCCCAACTTAAACTCTTTAAAGTGCCTGTAACCCCCTCCCCCTTCAGGGCTCACTGCTCGGCCTCCTCTGGTCACCGACTGCTAACCGATCTTCTGCTTCCAGCTGCACCATGCTCTCACCACCACTGTCCTCTCACTCACTGAGCTTCCTGAGTCAGTGTGTTCCTGTAAACCTCTGCACACCCCTGGCCCTCTTACGTGCATTTATTTGTAGTCACCACCAAGAAGGTAAGCTCCATGAAAGCAGGGATTTTAAAGTTCTATTCAGTGCTGAGCCTGCAGCTCCCAGATCAGGGCTTGGTGCTCAGTGAAGCCCTCAATGTTTGTTGACAGAATAAGGGACTCTTCTCCCCAGCTGTACTGCAAGCTCTGAAAGGGTGAGGCTTTGTTTCTCTCGTTACATATCCTGTTGTATATTAGTACAGCTCCT